CAATTTGTTTGTAACATGGTAACTATTGTATTTCCATGGTAACTTTTTAATAAGACTAAACAGATGTCGCTACATTATCCCCTTTCAAGTCGCTTGATTTATAGAGAGAGCGACGATATTTGTGTGTGTAACCTTATTCCAGACGCTTGCTTAATTTTTCGCTAGGCATCTCTAAGCTGAGCAAGGATTGAATGATTAAGGAAGTCACTCATCTTAGAGGTGCTCCATTATATCTTTTTTTGCCCTTTTCGATTAGCCGTTGCCTCTTTCTCCATTGATAGTCCCGGTTTTTCTTCTATTTTATTTGATACACCAGGCGCTATCATTGTTGGAGTTTTATTTTTATGATTGGCGCATACGTATGGCGTCTTCTTTTAATTGATTATTATCGAGCTCGGATTTCTGGTAATTAATTGATTGTGTCGTCCTTGTTGAGGCTCTGAAAAACATCGTCTCGGTTGCGTGTTATTTGATATAAGGGATAAGTGGGATGTTCTGTAGCGTTATAGTAATTGCTGGAAAACTGATACTCTCTTTTTATTATTAGTAGCTGCTTCATTTTGATGATTCAGTTCTGGTTCCCTTCATATCTATTTGGTCACTCAGAATCTGGAGGTTCAATTGTGTGTACCGCACCTCCACTATTCCTTCCTTCTTTCTCTCACTTCTCCATCCGTTCTCTGCTCATTATTATGTATAGTTGAAACTTGAATTCATTCCTTTGGCCTTCTTTTTAACGCCAGTGACATCTGGATCCTTGAAAAAGCGAATACTATTATATATTTTATATTTTTTAGGTTAATGTTTGTGAAAAACTATTTTTTTTTTTTTTTTTTAAAAGATTATTAACCTTTGTTTGCGACTGACTTTCTTTTCCAATGCAGTAACAGCGTTAGTTTTTTTTTTTTTTTTTTTTTTCTTAAGACAGTGAACTCTCAAGAGTTTGATAATCTCACAGCTGCAACTCGTGACAGACACGCAGGGAAAGCAAACACAGTACCACAGTTTACATGAAATTCTAATGCAACCTGTTTAGTAGTAAGGTGAGCATAAAAGTGGGCAGAGAAAGAAAGGAAGTCTGATTCATCGTCGGTGAACAGAGCGTGCCATTTTCCTGTTTTCAGTCTCCGTTTTTGTATATATTCATTATAGTGCACCACATGTTCCCAATCAGTCACCTATAATCGATTCATTCGACGGTGATCAATTCGTAGAATGTAAGAAAAAAAAG